TTTGTACTGCTTTGCTGACTTCCTCGGCATCTTCTTCTGGCTGCAGCGGCTCGTTCGTCGTCTCGATAGCCTTCGCAGCAATTGCGGCCTCTTCGTCTGGCTCGGGCGCTTCGACATTAGCACAGTCTGCAGCCAAGTCATCCTCGAGTGTATCATCTTGGAAAGAGTAGTCAATATTAGACGAATTGCCGAAGCTTTCGCCCAATAGTGCAGATACAGCACTTTCTGTCTCTTCTTGTGAAATGGTGACTCGAGACTTTGTGTCTTCTGTCTTATCCATGTGTTTGGCGACAAGATCTGGTGGCGATTCTATCGGAATCTTCGGTTCATCTGCATTTGCGTCTAGTATAGATGCATTGAACTCTACCGAAATGGATTTTACGGCCGACTCACTTATCTGCTCATCCAGTTTGCCATCAAAACCAGGTATGAAATTTTCTGGCTTCTTTTTCGCCGTCGTTGGTGTGCCTGCAGTAGAGGATGCACATCCTGCTGAGTCCATAGATGTCGCTGCCTCCGCAGTCGCGGAAGGTGACATCACGTTAACGGTTGTTGTTGGCGTGGACGCGACGGTAACAGCTGCTGGTGTAAGCGAACTCACAGGAGACGTAGTTGTATCATAGGAAATGGAATGAGACCTTTCGTTTGCAAATGGCGTTGCGCTTGTAGTCGGTGTCTTTGGTATTGGACTTATTAGTCTCTTTTCGCGCATTGGCGATAAAGATAGCATGTCTGTGGTTGGTTTGGATGTGGTCAGTATTGGTTTACCACTCAAATCAATATCGTCGTCTGTCAAGCAAGGTAAACTTGGCGACGGTTTGCAGATAGGCGACTGTGCTGTTGAATTGGAGTTCTCTTCGCTCTCATCATTGCACATTTGCTTTTCCATTTTTTGCAGTTGCTTGGCGTTGGCCGAAATGACATCAATCGAAAGCTTTCCCGCGGAAGGCGGAGGTGACATTGCGGTGTGCTGCGCGGCCGCAGACTGTTGTTGTGGTTGCAAGGAAACTATCGATGCACTAGACTCTCGGCGTTGGTGATGATGCTTCTCTTCCTTCGATCGCTTTTTCTTTTTCTTCTTTTCCTTGCACTTGATGTGCAGTTGCGGTATGGCACCCGACTGTGATTGTGTGTTGGCTGAGGTGTTTAATTCGGCAGCGTCTGTTTTATCTCGGTGCGGAGCATTAGAGTCATGAGAATTCTCATCGCCATCAGAAAAGCGGAACACATCGGTCATATCGCTACGGAAGGTTGTGGCGGTAGAGGGAGTGGCATCTTCAGTGGTTTTATTGTCAGAGTCTTCCATGAGTTGTGCCTCCAAAGCGCGCCCAGCCTCGTCTAGGTCTACGCTGTTCTCATCATCGATTTGATGTTTCTGTTGTTGCAGCGCCGAGAGGGCATGTTGTTCACGTGACTTCTCGCGCTCTTTTCGTCGCCTTTCCCTTTTTTCTTTTCGGTGGCGTTCACGATCTATGTTGCCGCCAACACCTTCCCCGCTTACAGGCACCTTCTGCTTGTTCTCCTCATTCTCTTCAACAGTGTGTGATTTTGGTGTGAGAGGATCTTGTTTATAGGGATTCAGTGCTGCGGAAACGATGGGGCCAGTTATGCTGGTGGACGATGTTAAAAGGCCGTCATAATTGGCGTCTAGCGAAAACGTCGAAGTCATCTCTTTGGACTCGGTGTCTGTAAATTGAGACTCTTCATCCGATATTGGCCCGAATATATCCTCCATCTTTTCACCACTGCGTTTAGCTGTTGCAGACTGGTAGTTCGTCGTCTGCACTGCCGAATTTGGCGCAGAATCCGTGAGGAGCGCTGCCGATGCTACCGGCAAAATCGTCACCGATGCCACAGTTGACGCCGCGGGCGTTGCTTTTCCCGTATTGGCGGTGGTTGTATTCAACATTCGCGTGGTATCGAGGCTCTTTGTCTTTTTCGACTTCTTCAAGCGATGCCGCTCTTCCTTGGACATCTTGTCAGAATCTATGCTGGCGCCACCATCACTCATATTACGCATCTTCTCCCTCTTTTTTTCCCTGCGCTCTTTGTGACGCTTCTTCTCGCCCAGGGGTACCTCATTTGCGCCATTATTGGCATGCACAGAAGGTGTTGTTGGTATAGACGCGCACTCGCGTTTCAGTTCGTCGAATGGATCGTATGGTGGCGATAGTGATGTCTTTACCTTGCTCTCCGGCGTACTCATGAAGTTCATTAGCTGAAAAGAGCCCGGCGTAAGTGTGACCAAAACATTTTTGGCTTCGACTATGTTCTGCGTCGTTGCCGTGACATTTGGCATTGCAAACGCATTCTTCTGCCGCTTCTTGCTTTTCTTGTGCTTCTTACGAGATTCGGGCGAGCAATGTTGCTGAACCTTCAGTGAAGATTTCGGTGACGGGTGCTCAAGGGTAAATTCGTAATCGGCGAAGCGTTTAAATTCTTGCTTGATATCGACTGGTGGTGGGCACGAGTCTTCTTCTGTTTTTATACAAGGCTTCTCTAGCTTGACACCATCACTAATTTCTGTTTGGGCTTCTGATTGCTCGACTTCCTCCTTGATCTGCATTTTAAATTTGTTATCACGATCTTCGTCATCTGTCAGCTCCCGCTTTATTTTCATATCTTCGACAGGCTGCGATTGCGATTCGGAATCGGAGGCGATGCGTGTTGAATGGGAATTACGCTTGGTCGAAAGGCGTTTGCTTGGCGACGACGCCAGCGACTTGCGTGAATTCGCCTGTATTTCGTCTTCAGAGCTGTCTTCACCATCATCATCGCATAGCCTCATCAGCTTATGATGTAGTTTGCTGCGGCGTGCTTCAGCCTCAGCTGTTGTGGTCGAGTCAGAATCTGAAAACATGCGCTGGGGATGTGAAGAGGCTTGCGAGCTACGACGTCGACCGCTCATATTTGTGCCATCGTCTTCGTCGGAGGAAGAGGTGAGATTTGTCTGATTACGGGATTTATAGGAACTGCTGCCACCGCTGCGTTGATTGCGTTCTTCGAATTCAGAATCCGAGTCGCCTTCATAGCTCGTTGAGCGCTTCTTCTCCTCGCGCTTGGCACGTGATTGTTTAAGTTGTGTGAATTTGGCTTTAATTTTCTTCTCCTCTTCATGCTTTTGCATGTTTTTGCAGGAGCGCGCCTTAACCTTGTCATACATCGAAATGTAGGGGCCTTCATCGGGTATGTCGAAAATCGAGTGCTTCTTTCCGTTATTTGCTGGATCGTCGGAATCGTCCGAGTCGCCCGAGCTCATTATCACCCTGCGTGAAGGGGTCGCTTTGGTGTTATTACCCGGGCGTTGTTGTGCTGATTGTGGCGGTGCCAAGGCAAGACCTTCGTCTGAACAGCGTGAAGACTTTCGTTCGGCACTTCTTCGACTCTCCTGCTTTAATTTCAACATCGGCAAGGTCGATTCGCTGCTGTGCGAGCCCGCAGCCGATGCTCGTCGGCTTGGATTGTGCGGGTGCTCTTCATCGGTTAGGTTATTGCCAGGTGCTGACACTAGAGACTCTGTGGTTGAATGTCGCTTGCGCTCGCGATGTTCACGCTTACTTTTGTGGCGCGCGTGGTGGTTTCCGCCGCTGGCACTGTGTTCGCGCTGCTTGCTCTTGTTTTGGTTCGAAAGTTGCAGCAAGTCTTCGTCGCCGCTGGAATTCAACGGATGCTTGATTTGGTAATGAACTTCGCCGGAATCCCTGTGTTCTTGATCCGAAATGTTTTCGTGATGACTTGATTTATCTGTCACCGGCAAGGTGGCCAAGGGCGAAGTAGTCTTTTCCTCAGCAGTAGTTGAGCTGTGGTTATTGTCCTGACCTTCTTTGTTGGTTTCATTCGTGGCGTTGTTGCCTTGCTGTTGGTGCATTTGTTGATGTCTGTGATGTTTGCTGCTTCTGTGCTTATTTGAATGTTCTTTGGACTTGGTTTTTTCCTCGGAACATGCAGCTGCGTGCAACGGTAAATTAACACTGCCAGTATTGGTCTGATTTGACGATCGTTGATGATGATGTTTTCCGCTGGACTGCTTTGTCGTCGGGTCGAGGACATGAGAAGTTTCCTTTGCAGGCTGCCGATCGTTTATTTTGGTCGCGGTACATGAGGCATTTATTGTGTGGTGTGTCTCGATGCGTAAACGCTTAGCTGGATCCTCGCTTATTGTTGTGTGACCACTAAGATTTCCGTGGTTACTATCTTGTGAGCTCAGACGTCGTTTAGGTTGTCGTGTTGGCGAGTTTCGTGAAGACTTTCTGCTCCGATTCTTATTAGAAGCTTCGACGACCATGGGACTCTTTCCTTCATCCACTGCATTCTCTTTATTATTCTGGTGATCGGTGTCATTGCTCTGCGGAAGGAAATCGCTTGTGGATTGGTTATTTTTGAGCGCTTGTATTTGGTCGACATCGTGTTTGCTGCTCGATTCAGATTTTTTTCGTGAGTGCTCTCGATGCGTATCCCGCTCAGACCGTTCCATATCGATGTGTTCGACTTCTTCTTGTGCTCGTTCGCGATCTCGTTCACGGCGCTCGAGCTCACGATCTTCTTTCAGCTTACGCTCACGCTGAAGCTGCTCCTCTCGTTCGCGATCCTTTCGCTCCCATTCTTCGCGTTCTTTTCGCTCACGTTCGCCTCGCTCCTTGCTCTCCTCCTCGAGCTTTTCTTCATGTTCTTTTCGCTCACGTTCCTCTTGTTCTTTGCGTTCACGTTCTTCACGCTCACGCTCACGCTCATCATGCTCTCTGCGTTGACTTTCTTCACGCTCCCTGCGCTCACGTTCTTCACACTCCTTTCGCTCGAGTGCTTCACGTTCTTCTTTTTGTTTGCGCAACTCTTTTTCGCGCTTCTCACGTTCCTGGCGGTCCTTTTCTTTTTCCCGCTCTTTTTCCCGTTCCTTGTTTTGTTTCTCTTTCTCTCGTTCTTTCTCAATTTCACGCTCTTTCCGCTCCTTTTCCGTTTTCTCACCATCCTTTTCGTCACATTCACTTGAATCTTCCTCTACTCGCGGCGTCGAAGCTACTGAATGTTGTGAGTTAGTTGAGTTTTTTCTCCTTTCAGACGCACGCTCTGCTCTCAAAGAGCGCTTTTCGTTCTCACTGCGATGATTGTGTTTGTGTGAGCCCCGTTCGCTCTTCTTCGAAATGGACGGGGAACTAGACTGTTGTTTCGAATGTTTCGTGGTATCCTCTTCGATTTTCGCACTTATGGTCGTGGAGGAGCTTCTGCTTAAAGCAATTGATGCCCCCTCCGCGGCTGGTGTATGCGCATTCATGGGCTTAACTGTACCAACATTTGTACTACCGGGCACGGAGACTGATTTGGTCAGCATACGGCCGCCGTCGACTGTACCCGCAGCAACACGTTCACCCACATTACTACTACTCAATGGCGCCCATGGTACACTAAGGCTCTTAGTAATAGAATTCGCCTTTACTCTTGTAGTACTGGTTGGTAGGGTGCTCGTTTCTGATGTAGTTACTTGCGTTGGTTTCGATTGTGGCAGGTCTGAGGGCGCAGGTCCAGCCGGGAGAGCCGGTTGAGCAGTAGGTGGTGGCGCTGCAGTGCTCGGCAACGGCGGGTGGCTTGGAAACGGGTATTGTAAACCTTTCATAGCTGCCGCCGAGCTGGAAGCAGAAGCAATGCTTGAAACGCTGGTGGAACTTGTTGTAGTTGGGCCGGCATTAGTTCCAATCGCTGCATTAGCTGTTGCCAATTTGGCTGCACACGGAATTAGCGGTGTTGCCACAGTACCACCACTCACCGAAGGCGAAGGTGATGGACTGTTATATGGTGATATTGATGCCTGTGGAGAATTCATCGGTGAAAGACTGCTCAATCGCTGCAAGAGTGCACCCGATTGTTTCGATAGTGAGACATTTGAAGCGTTTGCAGAGTTGCTTCCAACTACGGGCGTCTTCGTCGCGGCTAAATTGGGAAGACCCGGCGAGGTACAAACTCCAATAATGTGCTTCGCCTGTTGTGTGGCGTCCGTAGATGGCTCGTACCACTGGTTCTTCTTCAGTCGCTGTAAGTCATCATCAAATATGGATTTCTTCGCTAACACTGATTTAACAATCTCCGAGGGTTGCATCTCGTTGACATCGAGATCAGGAAGCTTATAGCGTGACGATATCGACGAGCAACCTGTGTTGACAATCGCGTGATGCGGCCCCCCACTAATCCCATGGTGTTCGCTTCCTCGATGCGTTTGCCGAAAAAGTGTTTGACTATGGCTACCAAAGTCGTGACGTTTTACAATACTCGCACTGGCGCTCGGACCACTAGTACCGCCAGCGATCTTTCCCCCAGTACCACCAGACCACCGTTCGTACATTTCATCAAGTGTACGTATGCGCTCTTCCAATGAAGGGCTACCACTAGACTGGCCGGGAGCATCAGAATCACTAGAGTTCGAACTAAGCGATCGTGGTCGCAGCGGGCTTATCATTGTCGCACCAGCTGTACCAGTTGCAGCTGGATTATAGTGTGCATGCGCTGGGTGATTGTGGCCGTGGCTATGTTGTTGGTGATGATGTTGATGCGGACGCCAGTGTGAGGAGTATCGAGTAGATGGACTGTGCAAGGGAAACCCTGGTACAAGGGAGGAACCTGAAGATGCTGTTGCCGTCATCGCCGCAGAACTATGACTAGAATGATTACTGCTGCTCAAATTGGTGTTTGGCAATATGTGCGTGCCGACGCCGCTGTTATTCGCCGCCATTGACGACGAGGAGAGCATGCCGCTACTGCTGTGATGATAGCCTGAGCCGCTGCCAATACCGTGACCTGAAGCGCTCGTCTGCCCCGTCACAGTCTTGCGATACTGATGAAAAAACTGGATGCCGAATTTCGGCAGCGGTAACACCATCGGCTCATGTCGGCGGTCACGTGGCACGCGCCGGGGATCGCTAGGCAACACTTCGGGTCTTTCATCGCAGAGTGGGGTACCTGGACGTGAGCCGTCTGCGCTCTCACCGCCGCTAGCTTCGAGTGAATGATGGGAATGTAATGGATGGCCCCGCCCTCGCGAGATGTGTTGATGATAGTCGTCACTGCCAGCGTTGCCACTACCTCCCGCGTTGTTTGAGAGGCCACCACATGGCGCTGTGGATGTAGACGAGGAAAGCGTATTGCCATTGCCGCTGCCAATATTACCTGCCCCTGTAACACGTCGTCGTTTACAGGCTAACGAATTCGAAAGCCCGGTGCTACCAGAAGTGCTCAAATGGGTAGGTGGATGGTGGTGATCACTTCCAGAGCCAGTACTACTCACGCTGCCTTGGCGGGTAGAAACGGATCCTGAGCCACCAGCCCCCAGCATCGCCGTTAAATCAATGGACGGTCGGCGAACCGGTTGCTGCTGACATGCTTGCTGCAGTGTGTGTGAATGCGAATGCGCGTGATACTGAGATTGGTGGTACTTAAGACTGGGATGATTGTTGGTGTCTGAAAGGCGGCGCACTTCACTCTTATGTTGTACGGCTGTTGCCGAGGCCTCATATACAGGAGCATCACAGTTGGAATTTAGGTTACTTCTATTTTGATCACTAGCATTGTGCCTTGTCTCCGACAAGTGCGACTGAGACTGTAAATAAACGGTAGATAAGTTTGAGTTTGTAATAAATGTTTTCAATAATAAAATATAAACAAATAGATCTTCAACATACCAATCCACCGCCAGTGCTCATGGAATGATGATGATCGATTTTGATGCGCTTTCGCGGACTCACTATACTTTCATCACCACTGGACGGGCATTCTTCAAGTTGCTCTAAAAGATGGGAACGTTCTTTTTGTAGAATTCTTATATCACCTGAAAATGGGTAAAGGAAAGACGCTACAGCATCCATTGGAAGATAACGAACTTTATTTCGATTACCTTTTTGTTTCGCAGGACTTTTATCACAACGACGGCGACCACTGCTGCTGTTCACCGTCACTTCAAGCGTTTCATTTACCCGTTCGTTCGCACTTGGTGCTGGGTTAGCTGCGTTGGCGCCGCCTACAATGGGGCCCAATCGCGAAAGGAGTGGCGAGTCCGAACGCAGGCCACTGGTGTTGCCGCCCGCCGAATATACGTTCTGCGAGGTCGCATCTTCGTCGTGTGAGGCAGCCGAACCTTGACTAAATTCGTCATAGGAACGGAATCGGCGCGTATCCAAGTAGTCGTAGTCTAGCGTATGCCGTGAACTGCGGGATCCACGACTTCGAGCTGGCGTCGAATTTCCCGACATCGGTGCGTTCTGCGGCACCAACGAGCTGCTTGACGATGTCGAAATACTTACGGCGCTTACGCCGGCGACAATCGCCGATGAAAGCGCAGGCGCGCCAATTGTGGCGGTTACGCTAGACGCACTGCAACTGCTGCTACTGCCAGGGGTATTGCTGGGAGAACACCCATCGTTCGAGTTCTGATGGCGACTAAAGGACGGCGCGCGTGATCGCGATTGTGATAGCGCGTCGTAACGATTAAATCGGTTACCTGAAAATAAAAATTAAACATTTGGTTATATTTTAACTACTGAATATATGCATATATAAATTTTTTTCATGAAATGGTAGATGGATTGGTTCAGTCACACTATTTTTTAAGAAAATTTGATCATAAGGATCAAGTATATACCATAGCAAGCACTTAAAACTATCAAATCATAACGAATTTTGTGTAAGTTCTGTCCAAATAAAAAATGTTTATCCCAAAAATAGTCAATTAGGTATAAAAAAAGATATATTAAGGATATACTACTTATGTGTGTTGAGCCACGCCCACTTGTCAATGTGTATGAAACCAATTGTTATAACGTTTTTGAACTATTGGTTTAAAGCGTACATTCGAATCGAATCAATTTAGTTACTGTCTTGTCAAAAGTTATAAAAATAGGACATTCAGACAATCATTAGCCCTTCCATTCGAAATAAAACATCGCATATAGGAGGATTTATCTTTCAATTTTGTCTACAAATCCAAAACAGTTTGCTTAATTGTTCGTATGGATGAAAAACTCTATTTTTAAGTCGCTTCGCACCTGCATTCTGTTTCTCCAGCTTGTCATAGAACGCATCCTGGCATTCGCGTGAAGCAAAATCCACTTGTAATCTTCGACCACGCAATGTTGCGCCGCGCATCTCCTTTACAGCGGTCTGCGCATGCTGTATTTGGTCGTACAGCACCAGCGCCAGATGCCGCGTACGGTCCAAAATCACTTTCGTCACAGTGCCGTATCGGGAAAAATGCGACTGCAGCAAGGACTCTGATATTTTCTCCGTTACACCGTCTATCCAAACACAATTTGTTGGCATCGATTTTCCAAACCCAAGCTTAATTCGGTTGCTTCCAAGATGTTCGCCGTCCATTTTTCGCATAGCTTTTACCACCGATATGATATCCGAATATTGACAGAAGGCATACGCTTGTGTACCTTGTTTCTTGATATCGATTTCGATGATATCACCGAAACAATCAAAGTGGCCACGCAACTCGCTGGCCGTTATCTCTTTCTCTAAATTACCAATAAAGAGAGTTCGCGTCGATTTAGGATGATACTCGTCCAATTCGGCTTCATAGGGTCGGAACTCGTTGTCTTCCACATCATAACCCTGGTAAGGTTCAACTTCTATTTTGCAACCGAAAAAGAGTTTATCCTGTGAGACTTCGAGGGCTTTTTCCACGTCATCTGCCTTTTTGAAGCAAACTAGCGCATAACGCTCCGAGTTCTGTCCAACCACTTTTACCCAAGTGACTTTGCCATGCTTTTTGTACTCATGAAAGAGACCATCCTTCAGGGATGTGTCTGAGGAACGTGCGGGTAAATTGCGTACGCAGATAGCAAGCGGGCGATTGTCTTCGGAATGAACAACTGGGTTTACTGGGTTACCCACTGAGCTACTGCCACTGCTACTGCTGCTGCTGCTAGAGTTACTGCTGACATTGCCACTGCCCGCCATTCCACTTGTACCTGTTCAAAAAAACAAAACCAACACAATCATAATTATTTATTGCAATATTATTTTAGTAAAAAATAGAGGAGCTCTAATTTTTGAAGAATACCATACCGCAAACTTCATACATACATATGTATCTAACACACCCGTTTTATTTCTACACATTACATAAGTAGGCGTGGTCCGTCACTTTCAAATAAAAATTCGGAGAACTTAACTATCCTGAATGCCTTCCTAACTTTGTTTTAATAAGACTGCCTTCCTTATCGTCTTTCCGTCAAATTCGCAATATATTTTAAAATAATTGTTCACAAAATTTTGAAGAAATTAGTAACTTCTGTCATAAATATATATGTTTGCCAAAATGATCTGCTTAAAACTAGGTCATATCAAATATACGTGTGGATGTATGTAGCGCTCATATATTTAGTATATATATATATATATATATATAAATAGCCATCAGAATAAATGGTGCTGAATGAACTTAAGAGATTTATTGACTACCACAATTCATACCTTGTGGCGGAGTCGTAACTGCCGATTGTACATTTCTCGAGCTGTTCGCTAATAAGCCAGCAGATCTGCTCGGAATAGACTCACTGCCCGTAACTGGACTTGATGCATGTGAATGTGATGAAGCGTTTGATGAAGAGCTCTGCGAGGAACTATAGCTACTGGGCGACCGCGAGTGCGAACGGCTGGACGACGTCGTGCTTCGCCCATGCATATGGTCTGCTCGCGAAGTGTGTTGATGACGCGGGTCTTTTGCAGACGAGGTGTGTGGGGAGGTGATGCAACTACTGCTAGCAGCAGGACCGGGACCAGCGGGGAAGGTGGTGTTTTTATTGCTGCCAGTTGTACAACTAAAATGCTGGCTTCTAGCTTTCGCAGTTGTTTCGGCTAGTACTGCAGCGGCATTTAGAATTCCACTGCCCTTGCCATTGGTGTGGCTTCCCACAAGTGACTGCGTTGATGACGTTGCAGAAATGAAAGTCCCATGTGCTGACGGTATTGCTATGCTGCTACTGCTTAAACTACTGCTATAACTACTACTGATTGTACTACAACTGCTACTGCTACTATTGTTTGCAATCGAGGACGTTGTCGATGCTGCTGGTGGTGCACCCATTCCCGTCGTTTCCGTCGCCGTGGTCGCCGTCAAAGATATTGTTGACGTATTATTGGGCGATTCAGAGCCAACACGAGGTGACTTTAATTTGTTTAATTTTGAATTGTTTTTCATCCGGGAACTACTAGGCGCTAAAGTTGTTTTTGCTGTAGAAGGCGCCGTCGCAGTTACGTCCGGCTGAGTGCCGCAATAATTGCTCCGGTGATGAGTTGTTAACGTTGCCGCAATTGCCGAATTTATGGAGGAGGCAGGTGTGGTGATTGAGTTTGAGGTGGAGTAAAATATGTGGTTGCTGCTGCTGCCTACTGTTGAGGCGCCGGCATTGCCACTGCCACCAGGACCGTTCGAATTCGTTGCAGGAGCGTCGTACCATGACGACTGCAAAGTGCGGTTATAATTGCTGATGGTGGCACCGTTTGAACTTCTGCAACGTAAAATTGTTATAATTTCCTATAATTCTGATATTTTTTCATTTTTTTTTTCTACTTGCCTCTCGCTTAACTGTGCAGTTGAATATGGTCCATTTTTGTAAAGACGATCACGTGTTCTATTACGATTTTCTATAGTGCTACTAGTACTGACAACTGAATCACCAGAGCCATCAGGGACTACAGAGCTTAAATCTTGTATAGACGACGATGGACTTGACGATGTCAAATTGTTTTTAGTTTGATAACCACCAATATTTCCAATCGAAATGTGATTTGAACGACGCAAATATGATTCGCTATCTGCAGCTAAGCGCGAACTTCGTTCAAAGAAGCCACTTTTCCGTTCAGTGAAATTAGGTGGTGAAACGTCTTCAGTAGACCTAGAATATTACAAAAGGAAAAACAACCACTTGTCATTTAATACCCGTTTTATGCTTGCGAAATCATTTAAAGTGTAGTAATAAAAATTTTCATGATTTCTTTTATGAATATTTGGTTTGCCCAAATCAACTGCGTATACCTTTTCATGTTTTAACCCAAATGGTTATCCACTCGAAATGTAAGAACAAACCTTGGATACATTAATTTTAATTTTGTATTTTTGAGAGTTTAATGCAAAAGGAATCATCAGTACTGTTATTAGAAAGTTTGTGTGAAGCCCAATTATTTAAACAGCGAATCCAAGTTCAGAGGTAATGTTTTTCCATCATAGTAGCATTCTCGTAGTTGAAATTCCATTCGGATTCTGGCATTTGAGGGCGAAGGTGGTTCGTCGCGAATAAAAATTTTCTAAGTGTGCTATACCCAAAAAAAAAAAAAAAAAAATAAGATTCTTGTGACAAAGGCCGTGTGAGTGGGTGCATGTGTGTGCTAACTAATAGCACTTTAAACTAAAACCTTTTTGCGTCGCGTAATTTAACACATAATTTTGCTGCAACAAGCTGGAAGGCAGGTGAGACAGTGTTTTTCATTTTTTCTCATTCATTTTCGGGTGAAGTGCTAAGGAATAAATTCCATAGTGCCTGTTAAAAAGAAAAGAAAGCCGCCTCTTAAGGTGGGCAAGGATAGAAACGCCAAGATGGCGTCGTCGACTTCGTGGTCGGCGATGCCTGAGGCAGAGGCTTCTGCATTTGAGGGCAGTGCGCTGAAAAGACCAAAAGTTTTGGATAATAGAGAGGTGACAAATTTCTATGAGCTCGCCAGCGGTGGAGGGCTCATTCAGATTAAACCTAGAAGTAGTGCCAAAAATGACGTGTGTCCTGAAAAGGGCGGGAAAAATTCAGAAAATGA